GTCTTAAATGTAATTTAAACATAGTATTCAAATTGATTAGCTCCTTAGTTAATTTATAATGTTCAGTGTTGATATTCTGCAAAAACATCAAAAATCATTCCTTTCCTAAAGATTTGCCATCTTATAAGTTACATCTGTATGAAGATTAAAGAATTGGTTTTCATAACATGCATATTTTATTGTATTATTAGGATAATGCTGCTATTTATTTTAAAGTATTAAATAAATGTAACTAGTTACTACTATTATTGATAAGGAAATGCAATGTAAAAATGATGTTTGATGATTACAAATATGATTATTGTTTACTACTTTATTATAGGCAGTTATAGAACAAAACATCTAGATCTCTTACTTTGAAATTTCCAATGTTACAATCTATAAAGGAATTTGGTTTCTGTGGAGATTAGGATTCTGGTTATTAAGTAAAAATATTTTACTTAAAAATTCAATTGGTTTTGTCCTTGTGAGAGAGGGTAGGGGAGAGTTTCAATTGTGCTTCTAGGATCTCCTTCCAGAAGAAATTTTCTACCTTGAAAATCAAGGACATCCCTGGAAACTGCAGCCGACAGACTGCGCATTATCCTCAAGCTAGTGAGTAGGATGGATTTTCTCCCTAAACATCCCTTCTGCTCTCCACTTTGAATTATCAATAAAACGGCTTGCCTTATCTGCGAAAATAACCTTGTTGACAACACAAATATGGATTTAAACACACTACCTGCACATTAAGATTTAAGAAGCCCCCAGTAAATGTCAGGGGGTGTCAGTGTGTTTGCTGTGATACTTGGTTATTATTAGTGTTTAACTGCAGTCCCCCACCAGTGCCACACTGCCAGCACCACCATAAATTTTAATGTGATCATGTGCTCTTCTCTTTTCATATCCAGTGAATTCTGCAAGATCATAATATTCCATATGAACCCTAGCTGAACCTTACTGTGATATGAAGAAAGAACAAGATTTCCAGCAGTGATAGTTGTTCATCATTTTATAGTTGTTTTTTTTTTAACTGGACACTGAGCAACACAGTTCCTTGAATAATATTACCCTAAACCAAATTCACCCATTCAATTAATCTTTATTGAGCCCCTACAGGATGCAGGGCATGGCCCAAAGTGCTAATGAGTACATTTATGGGATAGTAAAGAATACTGACTCTTAAGGAAACCTTTTTTTTTTCTCCCTTGGAAAATCTGTCAGAGCTCGTACATCATTTATAAAACCGAAAAATGTATCTGCAACCTTGGCACCACTACATGCGTTTTATTTTACAGAACACAAACAAAAGCACAGTCACTTCCAATATCTGGTCTGCATCGTGAATAGAAATGTGTCCATCATCTTCCGTTATGCATGTGCTTGATGGAATCTTTAGTCTACAAACTTCTATCAATAAAGACACTTTGTATAATCATCATTGATCTGTAGGTTTTTATTGCTCATTTTAACCACAAATGGTAACTGGCACTACAAGCTATTTAAGAAAGGAATTCAAAGTGTTTCATAATTTTAGCTACCTAAATCTCTCTTTAAAAGCAAAGGATAACATTGAAGCTTTCATTTTATAAATTTAAAATTTCAGGCTAGAGACATGGAACAAATTAGTAAGTCATTAACAGAGCTCCCAGTGAACTTAAATGTCCACCATTTTATATCAAATTGCCTGTCCTACAAAATGGTTTTATTTTTTTTTTTTAATTCTTTTGTTACCTTAGACATGAGCCTGAATACTTTTGCAAAACACAGCGCTGAGTCAGTAAATTTATTTTCCATGTATGAAATGGTTTTAGGGTTAAAGGTTAGGAAGCTGGGGCATTTATTTATAATTTGCTTGTCCTGCTGTACATGGTGCCAAAATTCGCTTAGCAGTGACACACAACTAAGCATCTGCCCATTCCCAGAGACAACGGGCTTAGTAAAAATACACAATTGCAGATTTAAGGTCACACAGAGAACACTGTATTATTCATGTTCACAGAACGGTGTGCAAGGAAGCAGTCATAAAACAGGCCCGTCCTGACAGGAGAGGTTCTTTTCAGGAAGACTGGCTTAAAATAGACATATTGTCTATTTCAAGAAAAGCATTTATTTTGTGGTGGAGTGTGTGCTTTGGTATCTCCTGGGCTGGAAGAAAAGAAGTACTTATGAGGAAAGGAAAGGTTGGTAAGTTTTTTTTCCCCACCGCATTTCTGGAACCTGGCTGGGAAATTTTGCCTTGGAGCGCCATCTAGAGGAAATTTTGGCACACATGCTCCGTGCCGCCTTAGCTTTGTGACCCAGGCTGAAGCCAGTGGTTGGTGGACGGTGAATTTCTTTTTTTCCAGATGAATAGAAAATTTGGCTCTAATTCAACACATGGAAATGAAATATGAGATCACTTGAATGGAATTAGAATCACTGATGAGCTCGAAACAGTGAAAGACACGAAAAGTCTTCAGGAGTGCTGGAAGTATCCATGTCCATTCATGGAAATAAGTAGGGCATCATTTTGCCATAGGTGAAGGTCATATTTCAGAGATTAGAATTGAAGAGTGAATTAATTTCATTTTAATTTATACTTATAAAGTAATCTTTTTAATTCTATAACTATTTTCTTAATTTAAAAATTCTGATAAACCAGATTGATCAGGGTCAAGTTGGAGAAGATATTTACTTGGGTTAGGGACAAACAAAACGTGACATTTTTAACCTATTGTAACCCTTAGTCAAGTTCAACAAATTTTAATGAACAGAAGATAATATCTTTTCTAGATGTGGCTACTTGATTCAATGTAAGGGAGAAAAGATACATATACTAACATATTCTTTGTGAAGTCATGTTTTTATTTTGCAATCCGCTCTACCTTCTACTTAGAGAACTTTAACAATGAAATATCCTCTTTTTGTGTTAGTAGGAATGCAAAAAAAAAAAAAAACAACCTGAAACCTTCTCCAACAGCAATATTCCTCAAGGTTGCTGAGCATACTTGCAAAAACAAATGCAACCTGGAAATATTCTGATGGTATGAACGTCCCCATTGTGGTGACATAGTTAAAGAGTTCTACTTTCTTCAGTTTCTTGAAAAGGATCAAGATTGCCATATCATGGCAATATTCACTGATAATAGCTGGGTGTATATTTCCTTTTTATCCTAAGTGTCCACCCTGATTCTGCTGCTCTTGCCGGATCCCCCCCATCCCAACTATTTTAAGGCTCATCATGAAAATAATGTCTCGGTGGGCTTGACATCTCTAACTCACAATGGCATGGCTGCTCCTTTTTCCTTTATCAAACAAGGTTCCTGCTTACTTATTTTGGCAATTCACCATAGATCCATAGGAATGTCCTCCGTGAGCCAGACACATGAACTCTGCACACAGAAAATTATTCCTCCTCTACTAAGATATGATATGGAAAAGCAAAATGAAAGTGTTCTCCCCCCTTCCCCAAGCAATGTTGGCCCTTGAGCAATTAAGCCTTCTGGTTAAAGCATCTTCCCTTCCCACTTTCTCAAATGACCGGCTCCCTGCTGTGATGGTGGGTGCAACAGAAGGATGGGGCCAGTCCAGTCTGCCTGTTCCTTAAACAGTGGGGGATCCAAAATCCAAGTCCCCGAGACCAAAAAGACATTTTGGTCCCATCTTCTTATGCCATGTGCATATTTGTGCTCAAGTCAATCCAATGTACATTTGTTGAATCCTACTAAATGTGTGATAGAGTGAAAGGTGCTGGTGGGGCCCTCAAGAAACCGTCGCTGGGCAAGTAAGAAAATGCTATTGAAAGAATAAAAAATGATCTCTTCCCCAAGCAGCTTACTCTATAGGAGAATGAGAGATTTGTAACTTAAAATACACAGTGGAAAGAAAGATATGTTGTACTAGATACAGTGCAGAGAAAGAAGTAATTATTGATGCTTTGGGAGGAAGGAGAATACTTTGTAGAAAAAGTGGCATTAGATCAATGCCTTAAAGGATGAGTAACACTTTAATAGGCAGAGAATGAAACAGATTTTCATAGGGAAGAAGCAGAAGAGTCTTTGTTCATTTGGACTAAAGGAAAATGCATTTTATTTGAAGTTCCCCAATTTTGTGTTTAAATTTTAATCTGGGTGCAAGAATGTAAGGTATTTCTATTTATGTTGTGAGAATCCAAAATTCACATTCTCTTTTATTGCATGGTAAATATATTTATACACACTCACACATATATACACATGCAAATGTGTGTATATATAACTATGAGGCAAAAGAAACCAACAAGCTTATCCCAGAAAACATTGTACTTGATGCTAGTTTAACAATGCAGTGGAAACAAGGCCAAAGCAAGCCTTACTTCTTGCCAGCAAATGGGGATAAAAAGAGGGTTTTGTTTCAGTTTCAATCTTGGCCACAAACACTTACTTTCAGATTAAATTCCAAGGTTTACTTCTGGCCAGCTGCCTTAGATGTCTCCATGAAGCAGACTGGCCACTGTCACTGGGTTACAGCCCCTGGTATGGACATTTTATGCCTAGGGAGCCGCTAAACGCTGAGAGCATTCACTCCTGCCCCTTCCTACCCCCTTGGCCTCCCTGGGGATTCTCTCAAATACACATTCTCTCAGGATTTCCATGTTCCTGTGTGTTATGGTCACACCTCCCCCTTTCTGCTTTCCACCAGCCCAGAGAGTCACATCCAGTGATCTCTTTGTTCTGTTACTCAGCTCCATTTCCGTTGCAAAAAGATTCTTTTGAAAATCTGAGCATTTCTTTTGTAAAAGAACCAGCTTACCAAGACAAAACATGGAAAAGAAGCTCAAGTCATCATTCCAAGGCTACACCTGCTTCAGAGTGTCAATGATTTTACAGCTTTAAAGCTCAGAAAGTGTTGTCACATGGATACTCCCATAACCTGGGCAGGTGAGTTCCGACATAAAATAACCACCTGGCGAGTTTTCAGAAAGACAGAAGCGTTAAGGAGAAGGCCTGTGGGGTCACACAAAGGAAAGATGGCCTTCCACCACCCCTGAACACACTTACAGTTAGCATGGCAAACATCAGCTGGCACACATTGAAGGCGTGTCTCCAGTTGTGGTACAGAACCATTCGATAGTTTTTCCGCACCGTCAAAAGCCATCTACACAGTGTCTGAAATGGGAGGGGAGAGGTTGTGTCAGGCAGTCGTATGTACCTCAGGTGGCCCATTATCCAAACGATGTCTGGCGTCTAAGTAACCTCCAATAACCTTCCACAAACACCCCGTCTGATTCTCACGGTCATCTCATGAGGTGTGCAGGAACGCGATTATCATCCCCATTTTATATTTGTGAAACCTGTGGTTCAGCCTGGCTACCACGTTGTCCCAGGCACACCTCTTGGATCACCCAAGACAGAAGCTCTTACCTCATAGTCAATTTTAAATTTCTGTACCATCCCCAGCTCCATGAACATCCGGAGAGCCGCCGTGATCATGGCATCCACATCGAGAGAAAAGTCATCAAAGTGAATGTCATCAATGGCGAGTTCTGACACCAGAGGGATGTTGGCTGCCTACAAAAGCAAAAGACATAAGTCAAGCCAAGTTCACAAGCTTTCCCAAACACCCATCCTGCTCTCCTCCCCAGCTTATCAGAAGTGCAACATAAATCAGGCCTGACCTGTACTTACACCCTCATATAGCTAAACTCTGAGCTGTAAATGTCTTTTGTTTCTGAACTGCAAATGCCCTAAGCAAATGAAGGGGGGAGGGGGAGGAAAACTAATCTGAAGATAAAATATACACACTGGATCTAGTCTGCAGAATTTAGAATACAGAACTGTCTAGTTTACAGAAATCGCAATCATACAATATATTCTGATGCATATTACAGAGCACTAAATGCAAGAAACATCTGGGCAGCCAGCAGCTGTGAATTTTAATTGCTGCTATTCAGAAGGAGATGGGAATGCACCACGTTGCCTTGTTTCTTGTGTCCTTATATCCTGTAGCTTGCACATGTTCTTTGTTACACACGTGTCCTGTACACTCAGAAGGATAGAAAGGATCAGACAGCACATCTCTTGTGTGAATTATGTTGTCTTAATAAAATAGAGATGTTTGGAGGGTTAGCATAATAAGCATATGTTTCATTGAAAGGATAAGTTTTGCTACCTTGTTTAGCTTCATTCTATATAAATATCACAGCACAGTTGCAGTACTGGTCATACATATTCAGGGTTTTAAAAACTCAGTTAGGTAGCTATCAATCAGTTGCCCTACACAAACCTAAAAGGAGGGGAAAAATCTTTGGAAATCATTTTTCTATTGATTTCATCGGGTTTACCATATCCTTTGGGCCACTTTTGGTAAGTGGAGTCACTTTTATGTTTTCAGGTTATCAGAGACCATTCTGCATTCATATTCTTAGTCTATTCACTGGGTGTAAATTACCCTAGGAGTAATTTATGCCCTGGAACTACTTTGGCTGAGCAATTAAATCCAACTCTGGCCACTCTAAGCATTCCAGACACTACATAATCAATCCTGCCTTCCCAACTGTATGCCCTCCATAGGAGTTTCTATCTGCAGGTTAAAATCTAAACACTGGCTATTCCCCATGACATGGAAGAACAATGAACAAACAAATAAATTCCAGGAAAATTCAACTTCTTTTCTGAATATTGTTTATTTTCATTAAAAATTATTCATCTTACCCTTTTGTAAATCATTTTATTTTTTTTAATTTTTAAAAATTTTTAGCATATTATTGGGGTACAAGTGTTAAGGTTACATATATTACCCATGCCCTCCTTCCCCCTTTTAGTATGTTAACATGTTTGTAGATTCTAGCTGCTAGGAATTAAAAAGGCAAGGCTTGTGAAATTTGAACATGGTGGTGGAAATTGTCCACCATGGGGCCAGGAACTTTAAAAATATTTTTAGATCTAAGCTATAAATGCAAATAGTTTTAAGAAAATTAGGTCTACAAGGCTATTTTCACACACACACACACACACACACACACACACACACACACACGCAATAGCAGAACTCTTTTGATATCAAAATTTTCCCTCACCCAGAGGCAATCAACCACTTTCAAATAATCTATATAATTGTTTTTGTATTTGGCAAAGTAAGATGCTTGCAATTCTGTTTTAAGCATTGTCTATTAACTTTGCACCATTGAAGATGAAGATGAAGCTGTCTTATATTACATCTGCCAAACTCTGCCGCTTCATGTACTAACCCTTTTCATTTCCTAATATAAATACTTTGTTGAGATAAATATTCAGGGTTTATATCAGCATGACTATGTACAAGATATTCATAACTAAGTCACGCAATTTACTAAGACGACTTTTCCTTTCCTGGACCTCATTTTGTACTCTGTAGAGTTAGTAATAAAAGTCTTCTTTAATATTTGCTTAGTTTTCTAAGTACTTGTCATTAATTCAACCTCTAAACTCTCTACCAGTTGTCTAAGTCTCCTCTCAAAATGTTCAGATGCTTTCTTTGAGTATTTCATAAGTTTCATGAAGAAATCGCTTCTGGAACTTTCTGCATTTCTCCAATCTGGACTGGCTGCTTTCTTTGTCTGATGTAAGGTTTTCAACCTATATGTTCCTTCACCATAATTCTGGGCGTGCCCTCATCTCTCTCTTTTTTTTCTCTAGCTCACATCTTTCTCTCTTGGTTTCTCCTCTCATTTTGGTGAGACACGTCCTTTAATAGCTTCTAAGAAAATGTGTGGAGTAGGTAGATTTGTGAGACCTTGCAGTCTGAAATGTTTTCATATTGTTGTCACATCTTATTAATAGTTTGTCTAGATAAGATTTCTAGGTTGGAAATTATTCCATTAAAATTTCAAAGGCATGCTTTTTCAGCTTTAGATGTTACTTTTGAGAAGTCTGAAGCTGTTCTGGGCTCTTATACTTTAAAAATAACTCCCCTTCCTACCCAGTTTTTGTAGGATCATTTTGCTTTCAGAGTTCTGAAATGTCATGAAAATATGCCTTTTGTGAGTTTATTTTCCTCCATTATCCTAGGTCCTTCGTAAGCCGTTTAATCTGGAAAATCACATCCTAAAATTCTAGAAAAAATTTAAAATTAGCTCTTTGATAATTTCTTTCTTTCCTTTGGTCTGGTTTTTCGTTTTTTGTTTGTTTGTTTGTTTTTTGTTGTTGTTGTTGTTGTTGTTCTCTTTTCCTTTTCTTTTGTTTTCATTTTCCCTTTACTTTTTTATTCTCTTTTTCTCTTCATTGCCTTTTTTCCATGTCTTTAATTTCTCCTATTTTATATTTCTTTTCTTTTTTGCTCTATTTTCCAAGAAATAACTTCTCTTCTTACTCTTGAGATTTTAATATCACAGTTTTTGTTTCTAAGGGCCTTTCTTTTGTCATCTTCACATTCCTTTCTTTTAATATCACCCTCATTTTGTTTCATGGATGCAACATCTTATCTTAGCTCTCAAAGGATGTTGATGATAATTCTGTTTGTTATTTTCTTCTTCCTTTATAGTTTGCTTCACTCCCTTCACTTTGTTTTAGTCTCTCTTTTTTGAATTGTGATTTAAAAAAAACCCACATAAGATAAATTTACTCTCTCAACAACTTTTAAGTGTACAGTACACAGTATTGTTAGCTATATGCACATTGTTGAACAACAGAACTTTTTCATTTTACTTGACTGAAACTTCCTACCTATTGAGCAACTTCCTGTTTCCTCTCCTCCCAGCTCCTGGCAACCACCATTCTACTTTCTGTTTCTGAGTTTAATTACTCTAACTACCACACACAAGCAGAATCATGCCATGTTTATCTTTTTTGTGATTGGCTTATCTTACTTAGCATAATGTTCTTATAGTTCATCCCTGTCAATGCATGTGACAGGATTTTCTTCTTTTCTGAAGTTGAACAATATTCCATTGTGTGTATACACCACACTTTCTTTCCATGACTCCATCGATGGTTTAGTTAGTCTCTTTCTTAATCAGCCATCTTTCCATAAATTATTTTAACATAGTAGAGGCTTTAAAAATATTAGAGGTTTTTCCTTAGCTGTCTGGTCATCTTTGGTTTTCCATTTTGTTTAACAGCGGGGCTTTCAAAGTTTCTATTACAGCTTCTGGAGGCTTCTCTGTAGGAGGAGCTGACTGACCTGTTTGCTTGGGGAAGCCACCAAATGTTAGCATCTTCGTGTCTTTGCTCTTTAGCTACTCAGGTTCCCCAGAGAAGAATCTTCTGACTGGAACCCAATGGGGAAGGAGTCTCAGCATTGTCTACACCTCCTGGTACTCATTCAGTCCCCGTTTTCAGCCTTCTCCCACCCTAAAGCTCTGCACTGATGACTTCCTAATGCAAAGACGTGCTACTATATCTCTCCAGAGGATGAGTCTCCAGTCTTTATGGAGTGGAGGGGTGGAACAAAGGAACTGGGGGCCTGGCTGCTTCTTAGACTTTCCGTTTTCCTGTTTATAACCCACCTTCATTCCCACTCCCAAAGATACTTAATTAGCCAATTCCTGAGCTATTTGTTGGGAGGAGTTTGTCGTATACATCTTCTTGCCTCTCAGCTTTTCCCATTGCTAGATTATTTTGCCTTTCTTGGGTCTGCTAAATTACTTAATATTCCTCCATCTGTTTTCTGGCTTCCAATAGTTTGTCATTGTTAAGTCCTCTTCCAGTTTCTTTGGCTTTGAGGTTTGCCTTTAAAAAAATAATTTTATTGCTGTTTTAGTAGGGCTCAGGGAGGGAACACAATCAAATGAGTATATTTAATCTACCATCTTTATCCAAAAATCATTGAAATTATCTTTATTAAATGATGCCCTGTATGGTCAGAGGTAAGCCAATGTTTGGTATATAGTGCCTTCATTTATTTTTATTTCTTCTTCTTTTTTTTAAATCCTGAAACGTTCTACGTGCATGAGCCTGGCTATGACCACGCAGATCTCTTGCTCTGTGCACCTGTGTGTTCACTGGTGCTGTGACTGACTCATTAGGCTGTAACAATCTTAGAGGCAGACACCATGTTTCTTTTCCTTAGGGAAGTTCCGGAAAGACTCTCTACTTCCATCACATGTTTCAGAAGTTTGTATATAGAGAATGTGGGCTCTCAGATCTGTTTGCGGTGATTTATTCAGATTCAAATACAACTGGAAAAAACACTTCCCAAGAGATAGAGACCCTGTCCCAAAAAGACAAGTCTTTCTGGTCTCAGGAGAGAAGTTTGGTTCTGAATTGGCAAAGGAGGTGGAGCCCTTTTACAGTTTGTCGCCAAAGGAGCAGAAGTGGTGACGGAGACAGCACTGCTGCTCTCCAGGTGGCCCCTGTCTGGAAGATTATTAACAGTGCATTCCCTGATGCCATTATAAATCTTCTACCCTTCAGAGGCACTAAATTCACTTAATTATCTTAAAAATTAAAGAATATAGGCATTTTTTCATTATGAAATGTTAATGGAAAGGAAATAAGAACATTAGGTTGAAAATGTAGGATGACCTCTGGTTCACCAAGACCCATCTTTATTGACCTTGTCTTTTTTCCCTCTAATAGGTTGATTGATCCAC